AATCCTGACAAGAGCAGGGGCAACTTTGGCAGTAACAGGGGCGACGGTGACCTTCGCCTTCTTGAGGGGAGGGAAGTCTTGGCCACAGTTCAAGTTGAATTCAGCGGACGACTGCTGGAACTCCGGGGCAGCGACTTTCATTACGACGAATGGAGCCTTGTTGAGTACTACTTCAAACTCGTCAAAGCCAAACCCAAACTTAACTGTGGATCCCACATGGCGAGCATGTCTGCCGGTAAGCAAGTTGCACAAGGTCAACATTGAGGACATCTTTCCAGTCAATTGAAAAATTTTTTAGTGTTAAAGGAATTCTACGCTCCATTTCCGGGTGAAATAATTTAGTCATAAGCACAAAAACTGACACGAAATTGTCTTATGAACTAGGTGTCTATTTCAAGACTTATCCAAGTGGTTTTGACTTAAATTTATATTTGTTTTGTTATTGTTGTTTTTTTCATTTTGCTTTCACGTGTCTTTTGTTCAAAAATTTGTTTGATTCTTTAACTGTGAATGCTTTGTTTTGGCATTAGATTCTGAAGTTTAAATATTGTCAAGGAAAGTTTCAAGGGTAAAATTTGATGTGACTTATTAAAAGAACAAGCCGAACTCGGAAGAGAGATGAAACGATCACGAGGTATAGGATCCGGTCCAAAATTGGAAAGGACTCATTCCACATCAGACTAACTCTGATCCTAACCTACCACATCTATTGAGAGTCCACCCCACTAAACCCTAGGGATTCATGAACCCATCTGCTTAAGGATGGTTAAACAGACGATCCCGTAATCCAAGAAGAGTTGACTATAATGGTTCATGGAAGAAATGAGCACGGTATGTCAACGGAATAACAGTAGTCTGACCCACGAGGGATATGGGCACACCACCGATGTATGAAAACCAAACTTTTCGATCAAAATAGAGAGATGAACTAGTCCCCAGCGGATTCGTAGAAGTTGTTGTTCGATTTTTTTTAAATAATTTTTAAGTTTAATCTAATATAAAAGGTATATGATTTTAAAAAAAATAGTGTCTTTAATTTTGAAAAATGAGATCGAATAGATCTTATTAATCTAATAGTTTACATAATCATGTTTGATACCGCGAATAATGCAACTTCCCGAAAGATAAGTGTATCCCTCGGCGATGAACCAATCATACAAACTAAGAGATTTGTGATATCTGTTTGGCCTACAAACCATTTGCGTGACCGACAAATTCTCAAACCATTTGCGTGCTAATATAAAGATTAAGTATGGTTTATTTTACCTAGGTTTCAAGTTCCCTATAGAGACAAGCTCCTATAGTAAATTACATCTCAAATGATCGATGTCACTTGAGAAAACTCTTGATAAAGATCATATAAACTTAGTCTTCAAGAATTCAAGATTTATGTTTTTACGTTAGGACGCGGAAAATCAAGTGGGAAAGGATCAAATGGGAGCACTTATTTTAAGAGTCCAAAGAAAGTAAGAGATAAAAGACGCCACAGATCCTAAGGAGAACCCTCAGTGACTTCCTAAATTATTCTACTGTAAGGCTGCGTTTTAGAGACGATGTTATTTAAGTATTTAATCCTGCCAATTTTATTATTTGAGACTCACACTTGCATAATACCCGATTATGAAAATAGCCAGCGGAGACTGGTTGTTTATGTCGTACCGAACAACAATCTCAAAACCTAAGGTGAGTTAGGACTTATACTGCACAACAGTTACACAGGGAACTAAAGAGGGTGTGAGGATTTACATCGCGTTGAGCAAGCTACCTCAAAATCTTATGAATTGTTTAAAACTAATGAATAGTTTAGCTGGAGTAGATCTGTTCCTGTGTTGAGTTTCTCGAAATTGTTCACACTCGACTCCTCGTTGTGCTGCCCACCAAGCTTACTCCGAGCTTTTCTAATGTAGCGAAACCGGGTATACGGTTTTATGTGTGAGCATGCAAATTTGTTTGGTCTATGGCCCATCACATTGTACCTCCGAAACAACCAGCAGACTGTATTGTACTCTAAAAGGTCTTGCGGCGTAAGTAAAGGCAGAAGTAAAACAACAGTAAGAGCGCGGTAAAATAAAATGCGATAAAATGCAATAATTGTAAAAAATAAATTTGCATACCAGGTGTGTCTGCTGCTACTGCAAAAAGTGTTATTACCACGGTAAAAGTAAACAAGTATTGCAGAGAATTTAGCTAGCATGACAAATATGTGTATATATATGTAAGTAAAAGAACACGCGACACATGAAAGCTCGAAGAGGGTGGTAAGAATTCAGGCTCGGCGTGGGCTCAGAGCTGGGTTGTGTGCTTTATAATTACGGCTGTCAAAAAAGCTCGTTGTTCGCGAACAGCTCGTGTTCGGCTCGTTCGTTAAGCAAACGAGAAAAAAATTATATAATTATTTATATAATAATATATTACATATATTATTTATATAATAATATATTATATATATTTATATATAAATTTAAATCATAACATCTCATGTGGTAATGTGGTTAATCCGTTATTTTGTCTATATTTGGTCCAGATTCGAAGTCTACACTTTACATCTATTTTTTTCAATTTAATTTTAACGAATCAATTTCGAGCAAACACGAGTCGAACACGAACACACTGTTCCTGAGCCAATTTCGAACACGAGCCGATTTCGAACATGAGCTATTTTGAATGAGCCGAACACGAGCCAAGCCTGAGCTCGCTCAAGCTCGACTCGTTTACAGCCCTATTTATAATCCAACTTTGAATGGAAGCTACCAACCCAAACTATCAAAGGAAGGTCACTCCTGGCCACAATCGCAGCAATTAAAAAAGTGAACTTTTATAGGATTTTATAAAGTTTCTTTAATTTTTCATGCATACCAAGTTTACTTAGCAATGAAAAGTAGTGTTATAGCAAATGAATTTGTATGTAGTATCTATGTAAATATAAAGGAAATTGTAGTATATATGTAAATGTTTAGAGAAGTATGATAGTCCACAAGTAGCTCACTTTGATGGAGCCAGAATTATCGGCAACCAAAGAAGGCAAGGGGGCAAGTTCGCACAAAAGGTTGATGAATAGTATCATCAATCCTGCTCTCCCCCCATTGAAGATCATCGAGGCAGGAGACATTATTCTATCATCCCACATTAGCACGCAAAAGCACTATCATCATCAACCTCAAAAAAAAGAAAATAAAACGGGGGGAAGCAGTGAGGAGACTAACCCAACTCCCAAAATCGGCGAGACAGAGGAGTAGAAAGGCAAGTGTGCTTGCTCAAAAGAGTTTTTAAATCCTCATAAGATAACAATCAATAGAAACCCAAAACTATACGCCAACACTAAATCAGCCTCGAAACAGCTCTAAAGTAAGCCCTAAACAACACTAAATTTAGCTCCAAATAGGGCTTAATTAAGCCCCAAACAACACTAAAATGGGCCCCAAACAGCACCAAAATGAGCCCGAATAGTAATTAATTGAACTCCAAACAGCACCAAAATGAGCCCCGAACAGCACTAAAGCCCCGAACAGCAATTAATTGAACTCCAAACAGCACTAAAAAGAGCCTCAAACAGCACTTAATTAAGCCCAAAATGTGCCTATATGAGCCCAAACAGCACCCATATAAGCCCAAACAGCACCCATAGAAGCCCGACAAACACCTATATGAGCCCAAACAGCCCTACTACAACACATTTTAGGAACCGACAGCACTTTTGAGCACTTTATGGCACATTCCAGCGCCGAACAACATTACTACAGCGCTTTCCAGCACCCTACGACACTCCTACAGCGCATTGCAACACCGTACGACACTCTTTTAGCGCAATTCAGCGCCCTATGGCACTCCTACAGCGCATTTCAGCATTTATGGAGCCCCAAAGAGCACCCTTGACTCCCCAAATCAGCATTTAAATGGTGCACAATTGATATCAGGTAGAGCATAAAAGAATCTTAGGTAGGGTTTGTCTAAGGCCTCCTGATCCTGTGAAAACTCATTTTTGGACATTCCACATGTTGGTCCTTAGCGCTTGCAACTAAAAGTTGAGTGTTTGGGACCACTCATCTGAGATATTCACAAAAATTGGTCAAGAAGTGATTTGAAGTTAAATGTAAGGTGGGTTCCATTGCTAGTCCTCTAGGAGGATCAGCGCGAGTCCTAAGGCTAGATCTTAAGCTCCAAGAAAGGGAGAAGAAAGACCTCAAAAATGAGGTCAGCACCATTACAAATAGTCACCCTTACAACACTCAATAATCAACTCTTAAATTATTCGAGCTATGGAATGATGTTTGTCATCTCTTACAATGTACAAAGCTTCGAAGAATGTAGTAAACAAGGTTAGCTCAGATATAACATAAAAAAATCAGCTGCTCCATTAAATGTATGTTAGATACCTCAACGAACAAAAAACCATTAATTGGTATATTAACCAAAGGTTTTATTAGTCTAGTTTAAATGGAAAATAACACTTTCTATCAAACATTTTGAGCACTACATACAGTACATTTTCATGGTTGTAGAAACTATTTTCATGAACTTGCATGATTTCCAAAGTTCAGCTACTAACTTGATAATGGGAATTTCTTGCTAAAGTCTGCTATATGAATTTTGGCCCGCACAATCAACGCAAATTTAGAGCCGCTACCCACTCAGTGTCAGAAATATTCCAACTATGTGGGGTTTGCATTATGAATACTCATTTTTGGATTCAAATTTGAATTCAGTTCATTAGTTATGGCATAAATTTTATGATTGGAAGTCAACCTAACATCAACCTTCCATATTTTCTATCTAGTCTTGGGGCTCGCAATGGCAATTTTAGGCCCTATACTCAACAGATAATCACAAGGAGTATTATTGCAGTTCATTAACTCTACACAAAACATTATAATCACAATGATTAAAAATTTTACTAGGGCAATCTAATATCATTCAAAATGTAGCATAGTTAATAAAACATGATAGGCTCATATGTGAACTTCAAGTAAAATATTTTGAAGCTTAAATTACTTAATTAGCACCTGAAACATCAGAATATGGAGAAATGCCTCTATATGAAGCATCTTCAGCTCAAAACCCTCTTTCTTACCTGATACAAGGTAATAGAAAGTGATCTGCTAGTGATGATGCTACAATAAAAGCAGTACAAAATCATGGATTTAATGCAGAACTTCCAACAAGAAATTTTCTAACACATTACATGCTAGTAAAATGTGATTAAATTGTTCACAAGAAAATTCATATGAGGCCTATTTGGGATCAATTTTGTTTTGATTATTGCTTAATTTTTAAAAATATGTTTTGCTTAGTATATTTTTTATTTGTTTATTTTTTTATTTTTAAAAACGAATCAACATGTTCTTAAAAACCCTCAAAATAACTAAAAGTTATTTTGTGTTTTTAAAAACAAGTTTATTTGTTATTAACATGATAAATATATTTTGCTTCCAATCAAAACATAATAAAATAAAATAAAACATAAAATGAAAAAAAAAATGATCCCGAACAGCCCCACTAATATACACATGCTATGCAAAATAATTTAAGCTTTAAATTAAGGGGGCATTCGTAATCTAAATATCAATTATGGAACAAAACCTTCCATAAAATAAATTTTAAGGAGCCAACTATGCTTAAATAAAGAATATCATTTTAACCGATTTTGCGATTAATCTATTTCTAACAAAACCATTACTAAACTCACAAAAGTTTGATGTAAGAGAACAAGCACAAAGTAAAAGAAATTCTACAATTTATTATTCATGTGTTTAACAAGCCAAGAAAAACACAAATGCTACAATAATATTTTTTTGATCAAATCATTTCTTCTCAAGTTGAATCTTTACAGAGAGAGAGAGAGAGCCAACATTTTGCTTTATCTTCAGATAGTAGATTGAAAAAAAAAGAAAGGTTTAATAAAATTTCAGCATGTAGGAAATGATGGCAGATCATAATTTCTTTGGAGTGAAATTTTAGAAACAGAATGTACTTCCTGACTTAAGCTTGCAACTTAATAAATCCAACAGATAAATGGTGTGCAGTGCAGCAGGTGCATTTCATCATTTGGCAATTAAAGATGAAATTGCAATGTAAACACTACAATTGAAGAAACTCTGCACAAAAAGTAATACCAAAAGGCTAGATTGGCCGAAATGCAACCAAATAGCTGTGTGTATCTATTTCGTTCCGAAACTTCCAACTTTCAATCCTTGATAGGCTTTAAATTAAGTGACATCCTTATCTAAATAGCAAGTCTGGAAGAATAAAATTTCATCCAATTGATGTTAAAAATAAGATCAAGTTTAAAGAGATTTGCCAAAATGCAACCAAATAGCTGTGTATCTATTACGTTCCCAAACTTCTAAATTTCAATCCTTGATAGGCTTTAAATTAAGTGACATTCCTTATCTAAATAGCAAGTCTGGAAAAATAATATTTCATCCAATTGATGTTAAAAATAAGATCAAGTTTAAAGTTGCAAAAAATACTTAATTAAGAATATATACTTTGCAACCAAGTATACGACTAGTCCATTTCTAGTCAAACCAGTATTTTAATAAAAAAGATTTCGACGAAATGGACATCAAGCACAAATCGAAACAAATTCAAAAATTTGTTATCCACATGTTTAACGAGCCAAAAAAGACCAAATGCTACAATAACATTTTTTTATGATCAAATCATTGCTTCTCATGTTTGTATCTTGACAAAAAAAATGAAGAAAAATAAATAAAAAGAAGCAACATTTTGCTTTATCTTCAGAACACATGCAAAAGCATAAAGCCCAATAAAATATAGGCATGTAGGAATAAATGGTGAATCTTAATTTCTTTAAAGCAAACTTTTAGAAACAAAAAATGTAGTTTCCGATTAAAGCTTGCAAGGCAATTTTAATAAATACAATCGATAATTAGTGTACAACGCAACAATAGCCAACAATTGGCAAATTATGATGTATAGACAAATACATTGAAGTACAGACACAACTCGGACACGACACAACAAAATTACAAAATTTTAAGATATAACAAGTCATGGACTCATTTTTATAATTATAAATTATTAATATGAAATTTTCATTTTTTTTATTATTCTCTACTAAATACATCATAAGATGGAAAGTAGTATCATAAGAAAAAAAAAATTCTAAAGATAATAAAAAACAAACATGATCAATAAGAAAAATATGCTTCACAAGCATTCATAAATGATTGTCACATCTTTTGCCAATAATACTTTTACTTACAAAAATATGTAAAATGCTCCAAAAATATAAAAAAATAAATATCAGTCATCATCAAAATAATCAAACAAACATGAATATATTTAGGAGAACATGTTTAAAAAGATAGCCTTAATTCAAATAAAATTATTCCTAATTATTATGATCATGATGAGAAGGATAGCCTTAATACATTTTAAATTAATCACAATATTGATCATTTAGATTGATAACTCATTTTTACCCTTTTTTTTCACAAATGAATTTTGATCATCCAACATGAATTGATGCGTGCTTGGCCACAACAGAGACAAATTTGGCTTTGGCATTTTAATTTGGTTTAGCATGTGTTTTAAAAACTGCAGGATAGAACAAAAATTTGGAAGGAAGCAGTGGCTCTCTGCTGATAATCATTACAGGAAGATCATATAAGAGTTCTGCCTTGTATTGAAGTCAATGGAAGCCAAGGGTTATCTTCTTGATCCCTTAACTCAATGAAGAATTGTTTACAACTTTGTCAGACCGTATTCCTACAAGGATATGGATTTCCTGCTCCTCTGCATTCATCAAATGTTTCAAAGTCACCATCGGATTTTATATCTTCTAAGCAACAAACTCATCGACCGAAACAAAAAGTGTCATCTTTCAACAGTACTAGCAAACAAGGAATTGATGGCATTAGTGATTTACTTGAGTGATGCTACAGCATCTTGGCTTAATGAACCATATGTTTAGTGTCTGTAACAAGATATCATACTAGCACAAGCTAAATGCAAACTCACTATTGACGATCTATTTGCTACCAAAGGAAGTTGACACCGCCCAACTATGATTATATCTGGATTTTCTCTTTTAGTAGGATTATATTTGTGGTCAAGCATATTTCATTTTGTTGTGATTTGCCAACTGATGGAGATTTCTTCTAGTTGATTACTTTAGGTAGTAGGATAACGTAAATGGGCAGTTCATATAGATCAAGGATTACAACATTTGTAATGATATTAAGATGAATTGAAAGGACCATCAGGACTGATATCCAGTGGAAAAATTGTATCACTTTTTCAATACAAAGCTATGCAAATCTCGCAACACCAAATACCTTACCTCGGTACCATGGCACCAATAATTATCTTATCAGCATAACACAAGACACATTTAAATTTTAAATTGTTTGTATGCTTTGAAATTGAAAAACTATGCCAAAGTTTTGTCACTTGATTCAAATTAAATGATTGCATGAGTTAGCCACTTAACAATAGGCACATGATATGATTTTGTCATTTTCATAACAAGGATTGAAGCTAATGAAGCGGCTTTCTAATAATCAGTTTTCCTTGCAGCCAAAACTTATAGAAAAGTACCACCAAGCTGTCATACTGATGTCATGTTCATGCTTAAACGTAAAACAAATAACACGAAGATAAAGAAACAAACCTGCTGCCACGGCAATTTTGGATAGGTTGAGCAGACGCCTTCTATCAGCCATAGAAGATGGCATCTTGATTTGCACAAAATCTCGTCCTTCAATCAAAGACGAGCTGTCATCTTGATATAGGGCCAAAGTATGAAGAGTTTCTGAAGCAGAGGAGAACTGAGATAAGTATATCTCGTGAAGCCACAACAGATCACTATGATCCTTCAGAAAACTGGCCAACTCATCCCGGAACTCTTCTCCAAGCCTCAGCAGTTTAGCAACTTGATGGTTTTTTATCAACTGCTCAAATACAAAATTACTAAATCCTCCTTTCAGTCCACGACTATCGTGCTGCATCACAGCCAGAAAGAGTTAAATTATGTCTGCCATACATTCTACAGAAAGCTTTATGAATTCAAATCCAAAATCAATCCATTTAAATACTTCCTTATCTGCCAATGATTTAGTGATACTTAGAAGTGTTCAACTTTAATTTTCTCTAGCAAAAGTTACAAATAGCATATTCATGGATCATGGAAAGCAATTCAGATGCACAATGTCTCAAATAAAGAAATGCATAAAACGTAATGAATGTTTTCCAGAAACAAATTGAAACCCTTATGCATTTCAAACAGTTTTGTATGTGCCTCTTCCTTCCTATTTCCTTCCATACTCAGAAATAAAGCACACGAACCAACATACAAACAGCAAAATATAAAAAAGAACTCAATAGATTTTTGTGCCAGGAACCATTTGAGACATACATACCATTAGGTTCCTCAGGAGGCGAGAATCATTAAGATGATAACATATATGCCATAATGTGGGATAACCTTCATGCCTTTTTGCAATTGCTAGTAGTGGCAAAGAAACCTCTCTAAAAATATTTTCTTTAACCTCAAGATCTTCAACACCCTTGCATTTATCCTGACAAAATAATATACAATTGTAAGCTAACGAAATGGTTTGGCTCACAATTGTGCTCCAAATGATATTTGGTCAAGAATTTAAGGATTTGAAGCCAAAAGACGAGCAGAGAAATCATATCCATGTAAATTTAGGTTCACACGAAACTAATATCATATATTGTTTTGAAAAAAAAAATATGCTTAAAAGTCAAAAAACTTAGTAAACTACAAATTTAAAGACAAGGCTACGTGCAATCACATGGTCTCTTGTGCTTGAAATTGTTCTTGTGCACTTGTGTGCAAGTGAAATTCGCAGATCATGATTTAAAACATCAGGTTTCCACCTGGTTTAAAGTTTGCTGAATTAAGTTACAAAGCACAATATTGAAGCCAAGAAAGAGAAAAAGAATGAACTAAAAGTAACAAAATATATCATGATTGGGAAAAAAGTGAATAAAATCAATCCAAGGCACCTATTTTAGATCATTTAGCATGTTTCAACGCAACGTGTTTTTTTTCTTTAAATTGTAGGCAGTTCTGCAAATATTTGAGCTTTAAATTAAAAGTTTAAAACCCATTGGGCAACATGCCTAGTACAATGAAAATATAAATCTCTCTCTTCTGTGCTAGAAATCAATTTAGGATTCTTCTGAGTCCACTTGCATAAAGTGAAACCAAGAGAAGAGACTAAAAATCTGGCTTCAAATTTTATAAGAAATTATGCTTCAAGTAAATTAAAGCAAGAAGAATATTGTTTTAATGCCAACTATTTCTAGTATTAAAAATTCTAACTTTTTAAGATAAATCAGCACAAATTATAACTATATAATTATCCACTTAACATTGTCGATTCTAAGAATAGAAAGAAGCTTAATTTAATTAATTCATCAATACAAATACTTATAATTACAAATTGTTTTTATATTGGTAAATTTTAAGTACAGTACAACTTCAACTATAATTTTGAATATATGTTTATTTTTCATCATTCATAGTTATTTATAAATTGTAAGATACGTTTAAATTATTTAAAGTATTATTATTTTATTTTATAAATTTACAATTTAACCAATATATACATAAAAAATTAGTAAGAAAGTAGCTTAGGTTTTGACATGAGCAGGAAAGTTTCGATGAGTTTTCTTAAAAAGATTAGTTTAAATTAAATTATTTTGCCCTTTAATTGCTTAGAAAGAATATCTAATGTTATAGTTTTTTAAAAAACTGCACAATTCAGCAAGTGCTACAAATGAAATCTTTCAAGACTCATTAGAGGAAAAAAAATATAAATGACCAAAATGATCCCAAAACTATTCAAGTGACACTATTTTATTTTCAATCTATCCCTAAAATCAATTTAGTATCATAACTTATTAAATCCTAGTATTTTTTATCTTCTATCATCTCACATCTGGAATTGACTAAAGCTAGTAGTGGTAGTCTTTCATTGAGAGCAAGATGACATTTCAAACTAAAATTTCTGATTCTCAATAATTACGAGTTCTGCAAAACTGATGAATAGAGAAAAAGTTGAGTTTCCTTACTGTGGCCAGAGACAATAGGAATAGTGGCGAGGGTGTTGACAAACCTCTACAGTGACAAGAATCAACGGATTACTGACCAATCACAAATCCCTCTCTTATTCCTCCTTTCATGTAGGAAAACAAATGATCCCTACCAGAGTGGCCATCAGCGAGCAATGAAGGCATATCCCATGATCCTCAATAATGACAAAAATATTGAAGAATAGCGCCAACAATGCTAGCTAATAGGGATGAATTAGGAAACTTATTTTATAGTGGGAAACTTGGGAGAAAAGTATCCATCCATACATAGAAAGTCAATTAAGTAAAATCATTAATTTGATAATTCTAGACATTGAGTGAGATGACAATAACTAAAAGTAAAATCATTAAGTTGATGGACTAAATTTGATGCTAAGAAAATTCCAATAGTTAGAAGGATGAACTCGTACACTTAAATAATCTAGGTACTATTTTGATAAATTACTAAGAAAAACATCCATAAAGCTAAATTAAATTTTAAAATTCAAATAAGAATAAAAATATATTTTATAGATAAATGAAAAAACAATACAATTGTTTCCAATTCAACTCTTTAACTTGATTTAGTTTTACATATCTCTAATACCTTGAGTCAACTGAAATTTCCATTATTATATCAGCATCTCCAGAAGCTACTCTATTGGTTAATCGTTCTTCTCACCTTATATTAAATTCTACTCTCATCTCATCTCCTAATGGCCAGCAAAAAGCATATGTTTGTTCCTTCTTACTCCTCCATAGATTTTAATGCAAGGCATTGCACCTTTGGTAAACCATTCTTGATTCAGCACATGCACCAGACCACAATCACAAGCAGGGAAAAAAGAAGGGTCAACAGCCCAATCAAAAAAAGCATGAAAATACCTAAATTAATTAGGAATTTAAATAGCGTGCACCGTAATTTTTATTTTCATAAAACTATTTAATGTTTTCTTGTTTAGAACTTATATGGATGTGTGGCTTTACACTTAGAGACAAAATGCAAAACAAATATATTCATGAAAGGGTTGGCGTAGCTCCAGTGGCAAACAAGATTAGAGAGAGTCATATTAGATGGTTTAGTCACATTAAATATCGATCATCTGATGATCCGATTAGGAGAGTAGATGTTTTAGATTTGACTTATGTTAAGAAAGGTAGAAGTAGACCTAAAAAAGACCCGGGCATGTATAAAAAAGATCTTAATTTATTAGAATTAAATGAAAATGGTCATGACAATCAATAGGACAAAATGGAGAAAAAGAATTCATGTAGTCGGCCCCACTTAGTGAGATAAGGGTTTGTTATTGTTGTTGTTTAGAATTTAAATGGAAAGACCTGAAAAAAATAGGTGAATTTAAAATTTTGACTTATTATAGAAAATATGTAAAATCATGAGAAGAGTAATTAATAAAAACAACATGCATGTATAAAAAAATTATTTTGATTTTTCCTATAGTTTAAAGAACTTAGTCATTTTGCTCCTTCAAAAGATAGGGACACCCAACCCCTCCCCTTCTTTTTAAAAATTATCGTATTAGCATCAAGGTTACTAATTGTTGTTTTATTGAATGAATAAGAATATTTAATATGAAAAAAATTGGAGTTTTCATCCTAGGCATGAAAGTTTGGTGGCTAGCCCAAAGATGTTGAGATTAAGAAAACTTATACCATCCTATTGTTTTGGTGAGTGATAGCTTTTATTTATCTTTGCAGTTTTAATTTAACTCTTTATAATGAAAACAATATGAGACTATTACTCTCTCATCCCTCTACCTTCCCCTAACTTTTCCTCAACTCTCCTACAAAACAACAGCCTAAAGTAACCATCAGGTCAAGCCGGCCAAGGGTAGGATGCTTCTAACCAAATCTTATTCATTTGGTTATTTTATAATTTCAAACCCTTTGAATTTTTTTTAAAATTTCTAGAATTAATCTTAGATATATTTTTCTATCATTAGTAGGAGTTTTCTTATTAATTTAAGCCAAAAAACCTTCCATTAAAGGCAAATATCCACCTAAAGTTAGATGCATGATTGGGCTCCAATATGACTTAATCTCTAAATAAGATCTACAAAATCTATCAGATGTCCAAATTTCATGAAACTTTCAAGAACACCTCTTAGCATATTAATATTAAGACTTTTCAAGTAATTCTAAGCCATGGCATTACTTAACTTCATCACAAAAAAGGCCTAAAATCAAATCTTAATTTTCCTTTTTTTTTTTTTTATTAGGCTGTACCTTATATAATTGACTCATAATTTATAGTAATCCTTAGTTATTCTCATGCAAATCCTAATCCTTTGATTCCACACCAACTTCAACCTTCTTTGAAACTTCCTATCCTAAGAGAACCTATCACTCCAAGGCCAGCCCCAAGTCCTCCAAATTTTTTTTAAAAAAAAGAAATATAGCTTAGTAGAGAGGCAAGCTTTGAAGAGGCCGATGTGGCAGTGTTAATGTAAGAAAAAATTGACCCACCTTAATTAGTCAAAACATGATGAAGGCAATTAAATATGTTTATCCTTTTTACATATCATGTCTATGTATCAAATTTACCATGCAAGACTATATGAGCTTAAATGTGAGTTTTTGATGATGTGTAGAGCCTTAAAAATTTGGACTTCATATTTTGAAATTTTGAATTTAAGATACAAGATTTTAGAATTTTGAAGTTTGAATTTCTAGACTATGGAAAGAATATTAATTAAAATAAGTGAATATTGTTTATTTGCACTAATTAAAAGCAAAAATTTACTTTCTCCACTTGCTTGGTTGGACATAAAATGGGGCTAGCAGTTACTACTTAGTTACAACTTCCCCATTCAAATTCAAAAGCCATGAGATTAATCCCTCCTACATTTTTCTTTCTTCTACAATTTGAATTATCTCTTGTAAGAACTTCAATAAATTTTTCATCAGAAATTAAAAAAAATTTTGATATTTTTTTTTAAGAGAAATTGAGTAAATGGCTTAATGGCCGGCCTCAACCTAGGAGATTATATTTAATCGGGAATGAAAAAAGAGATTGATATAGTTTTGAAGAAAAAATGAGTAACCATAGGGAATGGGATAATGACCAGCCTCAACCTTGAAGGAGATTGGGTTATCCGTTCCCTTTAAACACTTAAAATATGACTATTTTTTTTTTAATAAATTCTACACGTGTTAGTTGTTCTATTTGTCTACTACTGTTCCTTCACTATATTGTGGTTTTTCTATATTTTTTTGTTTAAGAAAACCAACAATAATCAACTTAGGGCTATTGACCAAAGCATCTCTAATGCAAGAACTCGTTTTGCTATATACGCCAATTAGTAGCCTTAAACCACTTGAAAGAAATCTAAAATAAAACTATAAATACTCCTCTTCCCTAACCCAAACTCTCTCCCCAAAGTCTAAAGTTCAATTAACTTTCTGTCAACCAGAATAAAGTTTTACTATACCCAGGATTTCAAAAAAACTTTAATTT